TTATATATTATATATTATATATATATATATAATATATAATATATAATTATATATATATATGTATATATATATATAATTATATATTATATATATATATATATATGTATATAATTATATATTATATATATATATTATTTTATTTTTTTTACAAATGACTTGCTGACACAGTCCTCCTTTTGTTGTCCCAGATGGAGCTGGAAGCTCTTCGCTCCATCTATGAGGGGGATGAATGTTTTAAAGAAGTCAGTCCAGTTTCCTTCCAGTTTAGGGTGGGTATGATTCCCTGCACTGTTCAAACCACTACAACTCACTGGGCCCACAGCATAAGGACTCAGCCATATGGTTGTGAACTCACTCTGTCTTTTCACCTGTCGTTTTACATCACCTTTGTCTTTAAACAGGTTGGAGACCTTGAAAACACCAAAGCATTCATCCTGGACGTCACATGGCCGGACACGTATCCTGAGTCAGCTCCACAGATCTCCCTGGACGCCTTCTTTAACAACAAGATGTGAGTTGAAGCAGTGGTGAGATGTTTAGAGTTCTTAAGTGTTTTACTGTCACACCAGAGATGCAGATGGAAGACACAACACCAAAACTTTGTAGATTCATAGTCTGCCTTTGGAACTTCATTGTGCAAGAAGCTTTTTTTAAATGACATTTGAAACCGTGAAGTTATTTCTATGAGCAATATAGTTCCAGTGTTTTGAGTATTTCTTCCCATGTCCGCTCAGAGAAAGGTGCATAATGAAAAGTGCCGTAGTGTTCCCACTAACAACTGTTTTTATATCATTTATTCAAGCAACTAATTTTCATTAAAATATTAAATCAACAATTTTATTTTAAGTAATATCATTTTAGCATTTAACATTGTCATTTACACTATACCACAAAATAAAATGTTGATAATGACTTCCAGATTAAAAGATAAAATGTAGGTTTAAAGTGCCAATTCCAACATGACTAAATCACATCAATGAAGCTCTTCTTATTAATGAAATTAACATTAAAAAACCTAAATATTAAAAGTCCATCCAATATATTTATCATATTTTCTTCTTTTTTGGGTCACGGGGGTCACTGGTACCCATTTCCAGCAGTCACTGTTAAAGAGGCAGGGGACACCCTGGACAAGTCTTCAGTCCATCACAGGGACACATGGAGACAAACGAGACAACCATCCACTGTCTCTCACCTAGGGACAATTTAGAGTTACCACTCAGCCCAACATGCATGTTCTTGGTCTGTGGGAGGAAACTGGAGTACCTGGAGAAAACCCACGTATGCACGGAGAGAACATGCAAACTCCACCCAGAAAGGACCTCCGATTGGGATTTGATCTGGCAACCTTCTTGCTGAGAGGCAACAGCTCTACCCACTGAGCCACCAGAAAAAATAAAATAAAATTCAACTGCATATTAACATTCCCACCAGCAGTGAATATGTTCTTTAAACGTTCTTCCATGGACAGAATCTACGTAAATCTGCTGAGTTAATGAACTCTTTTTGTGGATTAATTCCACAAATAATTTCACATCAAGGAAATGACTGGAGACCTGAATCAGAATTAATTTAACGTTTTAATTTTTGTAGGATCATCTTTTAGAACAGTCACCTCAGGCTACTTTACATTGCACTGTAAACCTGTTCTCTCCATCTTTGATGTGTTAATGTTTCAGCTGGAACTGTTCATATCTTTGGTTCTGACTGGATCTCTGTCTTGTTTTTTTCTCGCTCTAATGGTTTGGTAACAGCTCTGCAGAGACCAAGCAGCTGATCCTGTCCAAGCTGGAGGAGCAGGTGGAGGCTAACCTGGGCACTGCAATGATGTATACTCTGTTTGAGTGGGCCAAGGAGAACCAGGAGGAGCTCATGGAGAACCACAGGCCTGTGATGACCACTGTGGTCAGTGACGTTCACACCTCTTCCCACCGCAGCTTCTTTGCTTTTCTGTGGAAAGTTGAGGAAATAAGCAGCAACCGCAATTTAACTCTATTTTTATTCTGGTTTAAAAGTTGGGTTTTAAACTTTTAAACTTTTGTCATTTTCCCAACTTTTAAACAAGTTTTTGGGATGTACTACAAAATAGTTATTGACATTTTTCCTGTTTTGTTGTATTGTAATGAAAGAAACGTCAGTATTTTCTGCAGAGTCCTAATGAAATACACAGTCAGTGAACACCTGAAGTGTTTCTCTGCAGCAGACGCTGACGACCTGCAGTGAGACGACCGCTCTGTCCTCAACAGCAACAAAAAGAGAGAAAAAGGAGCAACTGACCAAATCCCAGAAGAGGAGGATGATCAACAGAACAGGTAGAACACGACCTCCTCATTCTGACGTGTTCTGTGTGATAAAACACTAATATTCTGATTATCAGACTAATTCAGCTACTCTGCACCAATTCAGTTAGTTTTAAATGTTTTACTTTAGATTTTTGTTTTTGTGGAGAAAATAACCATTGTGGTGCTGCAAATACTACCAATGAAAGGTTTTTAATGTTGTACATCAAGCCTGCTTTAGAAAGGTTTGGATTTATTTCTATTTGCTTCCTAAACTTTACCTCAAATGTAAGAGCTGAAGAAAGAAGGTGGTACTGAATCTGACACCTGATGGTAAATCACACCGCAGCAACCAGCGCTCTGTTATTGCTTAAAGATTTTGCTGAAAGCTGCTGAGCTTACAGGAATTACATAAATACCTGAAAAGTAGAAAGAAGAAGCTGAAAGGAGCAAAAAACGGTTAAAGAAAATAACTGAAAACACATAATAATCTGCATTTCCTGTGAGAACGCAGTGTGAAGGCTTGTAGCTGAATGATTTTTGCTGAAAGCAGCTAAAGAAGCTGAAACCAGCTGAAAATGTTTCATCTTTAAATTATTAATGTGAGTTGAATCTGAACAGCTGACATTTGCTGAAAGCAGGAAACCAAAAGCAGAACAACAGCTGAAATGAGCAGTAGAAGGTTTTAAACAGCTCAAAGGGTTTGAAGGACGTGGAGCGCTCCATTCATTTTCAATGAGGAAAACATGGCTGACAACGCTAAATATTTAAAAAAGTAAAAACTGCACAAATACCAAAAGTCAGAGCAGGAATGTCCTGCATGAGCTGAACGTTTTGATACATGAATTGTTGAAACATAACAAACACTGCTGAACAAGTTACATGCTGAAAAATGTACAGAAGAAAAGCAGATCTCAATGTTGAGATGGTTTCTACATCCACAAAGAAGCTGAACGGAGCAAAAGTAATTAAAATGTACAGAACCTTTTTCAAAAAAGGCTAAAATAAGCAGAAAGGGGTTAAAAAGAGCCCAAAAAGCTGAAATTAGCTGGAAAATAAATAAAACTGAGCAAAAGTAGCTAAAAAAGCAGAAAATATTAATATTAGCAGAAAGAGCACATGTTTGCTGAAATAAGCAAAATACATAAAAGTTGAAATTGACTAAAAAGTGAGCCAAAGCTACAATTAGCAGAAAATGGTTCAGAAGGAGCTGAAATGCAGAAAAATGCTGAAATTAGTAGAAAGAAGCGCAAAAAATAGCTCAGATGTTTTGAAACGAGGAGAAAAGAGCCGAATAAATTTAGAATGAGCACAAACAAGCTAAAAAACAAATTTTGAAACAGAACAGCTGAAATGAGCAGCAGCAGAAAATTGTAAACAGCTCAAAGGCTCTGAAGAATGTGAAGAGAGCTCCATTCATTTTCAATGAGTCCATCCATCATCTTTACCAACTTCTTCCTTTTCGGGTCATGGGGGTCACTGGTGTTACTGGTGTCCCTGGAGTCCATATCCAGCCATCACTGTGTGAGAGGTGGGGGACACCCTGGACATGTCTCCAGTCCATCACAGAGACGCATAGAGACAAACGAACAACCATTCACTCTCTCTCTCACCTAGGGACAATTTAGAGTCTAATGTGCATGTTTTTGGTCTGTGGGAGGAAACTGGAGTACCTGAAGAAAACCCACGCATGCACAGAGAGAACATGCAAACTCCACCCAGAAAGGCCCCGGACTGGGATTTGAACCGGGGCAACCTGGTTGCTGAGAGGCAGCAGTTCTACCAACTGCGCCACCGTGCTGCAATGAGAACATCATGGCCGACAAAACTAAAGATTTCAAACAGTCAAAACTGCAAATACTTAATAAAAGTCACTGCAGAAATGTCCTGAATAAACCGGCCACTAGGGGGCACTAGTGTCTGGTGCCCGTCCCAAGCCCGTCAGTGTTATCTGGAAACTTGACTGTGTTATAGGAGTTTTATGGACAGCTGTGGCTGAGTGGTTAGAGCAGTCGTCCTCCAGTGGGAAAGATGGGAGTTAGATTCCACCAGCAGTCACATGTTGAAGTGTCCCTGGGCAAGACACTGAACACTGCCACTGACACTGCCTCTGATGTGTGTCCCTTCAGTGTATGAATGTGATCTAAAGCTCTGATTAGTCTTTGTACAGATCTATTATAGAGCTGTATGAATGGATAAATGAGGCACAGATTGTTGTAAAGAGCTTTGAGTGACTTGATAAGATGGAAAGGAGCTCCATAAGTACAGTCCATGTACCATTTGTGTCAGCTAACATTGATTAGCTGCGGTGGCCATCTTGAACTGAAGTGACTCTGGTGGTTCATGAGATGTTCTACCAACACACACGAGCACACAGTCATCCTCTTCCACCTTTTTTAAGTTTTTCTCATTTTATTTATGACCATAAAGTGTGTTCTGTGCTGTCGGTGTCTAACTGGGTGCTTCATGCTTTCAGACAATAAGGGGGAGTTGCCCAGAGGGTGGAACTGGATCGATGTGATCAAGGTAGGTGCATTCCTGCCGTTCTTCACAAGTTGGTGCACTAGATTCTCTGCTGTGGCTGTTTTTATTGACTTGTTCTTTCCCTTCACCTTGGTAACTGCTACATGACCCGTCTGCAGCATGTAAGTACAACAAAGATCTTATTTGTCATTTCTTTAGTCTCATAAAGTTTGAACACACATGATTTCCTTTTGCGTCTTGATTCCAGCTGAGTAAAACCGGAGGAAAGGATGAGGACTAGGTCAGAGGTCGGTGGCCTGCTTTGTACCAAAAGAACTTCCTGCAGATGCCTTCAGCCCGTACAAACTGGATCTGGCTGGGCAGCAGTGACCACGAGCACACAGCTTCAGCTGGTTGTACCAGCTCCTGCAGATCCACAGCTCTGCCCCCTCAGGGTGGTGATGATTACTGTCACTGCCATGTTTCCAGTACACGAACTGGAACTCTGGAGCCATTATTAATAAAAAGACTGGCTCTAGATCCAAGTGCCAGGTGATCATCTGCTGTTACTTCAAAGCACTTTGTCAAAACAAAGACTTTTGTGACACCTCAGTGACTTTTCATCATTTTCTTATTTTGATGTTCCTTTTAAAATGTCAATCTGTTTATAAATATTAAACAAATGATATCAGCTGCTTGTTTACTGGTGCTGTCTGGGTTTTAGCTTAAATTGTTTTTTTTATAAAGCTGTGGGACATCTCAGTTTCTATTCCTCTAATGTAAAGATTGTAGCCCTTTCTGTTAAACATGGTGTGCTTACACGCACACACACACACACGTGTTTTACTGAACAGTCAGATGTGTCACAGATGGTGTTCGAAGAGTTGAACAGTCTGTTCAGAGATGATTCTTAACTGTTCCGTGCACAAAAACTATGTCCAAATAAAGAAACCAATCAAATAGAACAAAAATATAAAATATGTGAATCAAATATAAGTTAACCTAAATGTTAAATGTTTGTTATCTGTGTAAAACGGATGACAGCGTGTTTGTACGATTCATCGAATTCCACCGTTTCCAGTGATTCAGGTTCAGAGTCAGGTCACTGATTTCGGTTTAGGACTCACTAAAGTCCTAAACCGGCTCCGGCTCAACCACTGCTTGGGCTACTGGAGGACAAATTGACCATTTCTTTAAATGAATTGTTAAAATTTAATAGTTGATATTATTTCTGTCTTAACATGTGATTCTTGACCTGCCATTTTGTATCTGTTCCTACCAAACCCATCCTTTTGAAGCAGATGGCTGCTGAGCCTGGTTCTGCAAAAGGTTTCTTCTTCATGAGGGAGTTTTTCTTTCCACTGTCGCCTTCATGTTTGCTCAAGATGAAAGTTCCGTGATGGAGTTAAATTAAAACAGTCTGCTCCTCAGATAAATAATGTTAAATTATTATTTTTATCTATGAATGTTTCTGTTCAGTGCCCTGAGATGACTTCTGTTGTGACTTGTTGCTATATAAATAAAATGAATTGAATTTTTGCTTCAATATGTTACAGTATATTTTGTATTTTTCTAGTTTTTCACCTGACTAAGTTGCTGTACTTGTCAAATTTTTGGTATACATAATTGCTAGTAAACTTATAAATTCAATTCAGTTTATTTCTATAGCTCCAATTCACAACAAAGTTGTCTCAGGGCACTGAACACAAACATTCACATACATAAAAAAAGACGATTAGTAAAGTTTTCTCTAAAGAAGCAGCAGACAAGTTGAATCTTCACTTCATCACAGTCTCCCATCCTGAGCAAGCACAAAGGAGACAGTGGGAAGGAAAAACTCCCTTTTAACAGGAAGAAACCTCCAGCAGAACCAGACTCAGGACAAGTGGTCATCTGCTTTGACCAGCTGGTTTGAGAGGACAGGAAGGAGAGACAGACGAACACAGAACGACAGGTCCAGATGAACTTTCTATAGGAGGAAAGACTAATAACATGTTAAGATAGAAATAATTACAAATACTAACGGGTAGAGTAGAGCAAGTAAAGACAGCAGCAGGTTGAGGACATGTGGTCAATGCAAAACACTCACTCCAACCAGCATAACTAAGGGATAGCTCAGGAAGCCTAAGCCAACCCTAACTATAGGATTTATCAAAAAGGAAAGACTTAATCCCAGTCTTCAAACTGGACAATGTGTCAGCTTCACGGACAGAAACTGGAAGTTGGTTCCACAAGAGAGGAGCCTGATAACTGAAAGATCTTCCTCCCATTCTACTTTTGGAAACTCTAGGAACCACAAGTAAACCCTGAAGTCTGAGAGTAAATGTATTACAAAAAAAAACAAAAAACTTTAGCTAATAATGCTACAAAATGTTAATTTTCCTTTAACAAAAGTGTAATAAAATGTAAATTAAAAAATGACAAAAGTGTAAAATTATTTTTGCACGTTTGTTAAAACTGGAAATCAACAATTTCTTTTCTCACTGAGATAGTGTGGAACATGCAAACACCAATCAAAAGTCAAACTTAGGACCTTGTGTTGTGAGCGAACGTCTCCAACCACTGCTCCACCGTGCTGCCAGGAGAAGTCCTGATTTAAACAAATAAGAACTGTGATTAAACTCAGCATTCGACTGATTCAGGTGATGATTAATAGTGACAGAGGTCAACAATAATGAAAACACCTCGACAGCAGTATTCTCTGCTCTGTTCAAACATCTGTCAGCTGCTTTGAGATGAACAAAACAGCTGGATCAAGCTCAACGGTTTTGTTCTTTTTCCTTTAGAGAGAAACAAGCTTAAAGAGGCAAAAAGTGAAACAGATCGTTTCAGATGAAATGGAAATAGTTACAGTGAGCAGTTTGAGTGAAAATGTTTTTATGTTGATGCACATCGAAGCACAGAAACTTTATGCAGGCTGTTAAACTCCTCAAGTGATTTTACTGCTGAGGTCGGCACCATTTCATAACATGTATCAGGATAACTGTCAGCTACTACCACAGCATCCTGAGGCCTTGCTCAAGGGCCTGGAGCGGGGGTGTCCAAACGTTTTATATGTAGGCCACAACTATCCAGATGAAAGGACTCGTGGGCCACAAAATGTGAATTTAACTCTTAATGCAAATAATATTTTGGAGAAAGGACAAAAGTTTACTCATTTTTGGTGCAGAAAGAGTTTTAAATTGTTGTAGATCTAAAACATTAAAAGCCTCATAAACACTAAGATTATATTTTTTATTAAAAATGATTGGATTTATTTGATTTGTTGGGTCTGTGTTTGCTGTTTTCTTTTGTTTGGAAAGTTAATTTTAGTTTGTTCTCAGCAACAAAAGTGTAATTTGATAAAGTGTCCTTTTAAAAGTGTGTCGATCAGTCTTTTGGACCATGGACGACACAAAAGGCTGATCCAAGTTCTGAAAAATCATCCAGCTGTCAGTCACTGCAGCAGATTCATAGAAGGTTTGATAAAGTTTATCAACTCGTATGTAGATGATATCACGTTATATTCATTTAAAAATGTCCAGTTTCCCTCTTGATTATTTTATCAACCGCAACATTTAGCCAAGTTTAATGAGTCATTATCCAAATATCTCCTTCTGGTAGAAACCAGTAAAGGTTTTTGGTGCCTTGTACCATGAAGTCCATCCATACATTTTCTTCCGCTCATCCGGGGTCGGGTGGCGGGGATAGCAGCTTAAGTAGGGAGGTCCAGACTTCTCTCTCCCCAGCCACTTGGGCCAGCTCCTCCAGGGGAATCCCGAGGCATTCCCAGGCCAGCCGAGAAACATAGTCCCTCCAGCGTGTCCTGGGTCTCCTCCCAGTGGGATGTGCCTGGAACACCTCACCAGGAAGGCGTCCAGGAGGCATCCTAACCAGATGCCCGAGCCACCTCAACTGGCTCCTCTCGACGTGAAGAAGCAGCGGCTTTACTCTGAGTTCCTCCCGGATGATCGAGCTTCTCACCCTATCTCTAAGAAGAGCTTAGACACCCTGCGGAGAAAACTCATTCCAGCCGCTTGTATCGGAGATCTCATTCTTTCAGTCACAACCCAAAGCTCATGACCATAGATGAGGTTAGAGCTGGTCCAGTGTTCCACGACCAGGACGAAAGCTGCACTGCTCCTCCTGAATCTGAGGTTCGACTATCCGATGGACGAATAGACCTTACCAGGGAGGCTTAAGAGTGTGATCCCCCTGTAGTTGGAACACATTCTACGGTCCCCCTTTTTGAATAGGGGGACCACCACCCCAGTCTGCCAATCCAGGGGACCTTCCCCTGATGTCCACACAATATTACAGTGTTGTGTAAGCCAACACAACCCTACAACATCCAGAGCCTTAAGGAACTCCGGGCAAATCTCATCCATCCCTGGGGCCCTGCCACCGAGGAGCTTTTTAACCAACTCGGTGAAGTCAGTACCAGAGATGGGAGTACGATGAGGTGAAAATAAAAAGATTATGGCCCAACTGGGCTTAATTTGAGCCGGATTCTGCCGGAATAGGATCCGGTAACACTTTTATTTTGACAGGGTACGTTCCGGTAACTGTTTGCTTGGATCCGGTAACTCTCAGGTGTACTAACAACAAAGTTATGAACAAATATGACTGCCTTGAAAGAAGAAAACTGATATTGGATATGTAAACTGAAAATAATTACATAAACACTAATTTTAAACATAACAGCTACTTATGAGCATACAAGCTGCCTTCAAGTAGCATTTCTGTGTCTACACTTAAAAAAATCTCCGCCCCTAAAAGAGTGGTGGGGGTGAATGTCGACCTAACCAGGCAGTCGTACGCAGGCAGTCACCATGAACAGACGGAGGAGGTGCCTGGAGGTTTCACGTGTGGAGTCGGACAACAACGAGCAATGACGGTCTTGGGCTCGGAACCATCAAGTAAGGGGGGGGCAGGATGCTTTACAGAAGAGGAGTGTTTACAAATGTAGGTAAACATAGATGTTTAACAACCTGTTAAAATACATCAAAATGTAAAAAACTGCATCTACTTTATTCAAAATTTTCTAGAGGAACCTAGAACCCCTACCCCCCGCTGGCCTGCCCACTATTTGCATTCCGGCATCGCTCAGTTTACAAATTAAACCCTGCAGCCAAAGGTTTGTATTTTAATATTGCTAATTTTGAGGATTGTTTTTCATCCATTTTGCTGTTAAACATAAACATTATATACGAAAAGCTTACCAACTAATCTGCAGAAAGTCTGCATCAACATCTGAAGCCTGCTGGCCAAAATGATACCATTCTTACACTGCAGCTATGGGCCGCACAAAATCACTCCAAGGGCCGCACTTTGAACACCCGTGACCTAGAGTAAGGCAAATGAGGGTGCGTCACCTTTTCCACACTGCTTTTGATGTTACGGTGAGCAGGGGGATTTGAAAGGCGACCTTCTCTCATGACAGGCAGATGGTGTTAGCTCCAGAGCTAATAAATTAAACATCACAAGTTCATCATGTGGACTTGCGACCCGTCCAGGGTGTACCCCGCCCCTCGCACAATGATTGCTGGACATGGGCACCAACGACCCCCCGTGACCCAAATGGAATAAGCGGGTAAAGATAATGGATGGAAAGTTCATCATGTATGATCATTTCATCCCATGTGACGTGTGCAACGACAAAACTTTGTCACATTATAATATTTTAATCATGACTTCTTGTGGTTTAGTCTCGACTGCAACCGATGTACATCATCACCCCAGAATGCAGTGTCTGTAAAATAATGGTGGTGTCCTTAGGTGAAAAATGTAGAAACCATATTTAATTTTTATGTAATTAGGAGCTTCCATGTGTTGCAAAGAACTTTTCGTAGAAAACAACAGAACATATTAAGGCTGATACGTGCAAGTAGTCGTAGATCCCTTTAAGTTTTGTTGATAGAACGCAGGTTTTCATTTATTTTTGTTTTCAATATGGAGGACAGATGGAGATGTGCACGGGCCACTTTTAGCCCTCGGACCACATATTGCCCACAACTGTTTTGAATAAACGTTTAAAGTTAATTTACAATATTTTATTTATTAGTTGTAATTGTGAGGATTAACTGTGGCAGCCATCTTGGATCAAGCTGACTCCAAAAGTTAAAAGGTGCTGCTGATGTAGCAGTAATCACTTATATATGAACACCTGATGAATACTCTGAAAGTTTTAATAACGTCTATGCAGTGGGTGAGATATTTTGCTAACAGACACACATTCACATGTCCAGGCAGAAACCCCTTTTTCTTTTAGCTGCAGGCGATAACACATCCTCAAGTCACCTTAATATTTCACAGTTGAACATTCAAACCAAGTGAGAACTGAGTGACAATTGATTGTTATGTATGTATATATATATATTATATAATATATATATTATATAATATATATATTATATATATAAATATATAAAATATATGAATATTATATCTATATATAAATATTATGTACATATATAATATATATATTATATATATATAATATCTAGATATATAATATATATAATATATAATATACACAAATATATATATAATATATATAATATAATAATAATAGATTTTAATTAATAATATATTACAACCCGGATTCCAAAAAAGTTGGGACATTAAAAAAAAATGTGAATAAAAACTGAATGCAATGATGTGGAGGTGCCAACATCTAATATTTTATTCAGAATAGAACACAAATCACAGATCAAAAGTTTAAACTGAGAGAATGTATCATTTTAAGGGAAAAATCTGTTGTTTCCAAATTTCATGGCATCAACAAATCCCAAAAAAGTTGGGACAAGTCCATTTTTACCACTGTGTGGCATCCCCCCTTCTTCTTACAACACTCAACAGACGTCTGGGGACAGAGAAGACCAGTTTCTCAAGTTTAGAAATAGGAATGCTCTCCCATTCATGTCTAATACAGGCCTCTAACTGTTCAATCGTCTTGGGCCTTCTTTGTCACACCTTCCTCTTTATGATGCGCCAAATGTTCTCTATAGGTGAAAGATCTGGACTGCAGGCTGGCCATTTCAGTACCCGGATCCTTCTCCTACGTAGCCATGATGTTGTGATTGCTGCAGAATGTGGTCTGGCATTATCGTGTTGAAAAATGCAGGGTCTTCCCTGAAAGAGATGACGTCCAGATGGGAGCATATGTTGTTCTAGAACCTGAACATAGTTCTCTGCATTAATGGTGCCTTTCCACACATGCAAGCTGCCCATGCCACAAGCGCTCATGCAACCCCATACCATCAGCGATGCAGGCTTCTGAACGGAGCGTTGATAACAACTTGGGCTATCCTTGTCCTCTCTGGTCTGGATGACATGGCGTCCCAGTGTTCCATAAAGAACTTCAAATCGTGACTCATCTGACCACAGAACAGTCTTCCATTTTGCCACACTCCATTTTAAATGAGCCCTGACCCAGTGCAAACGTCTGAGCTTGTGGAGCTTGCTTAGAAATGGCTTCCTCTTTGCACTGTAGAGTTTCAGCTGGCAACGGCAGATGGCACGGTGGATTGTGTTCACTGACAATGCTTTCTGAAAGTATTCCTGAGCCCATTCTGTTATTTCCTTGACAGTGGCATTCCTGTTTGAGGTGCAGTGACGTTTAAAGGCCCGGAGATCACGAGCATCCAGTAGAATTTTACAGCCTTGACCCTTACGCACAGCGATTGTTCCAGATTCTCTGAATCTTTTGATGATGTTATGCACGGTTGATGATGATAACTTAAAAGTCTTTGCTATTTTACGCTGGGTAACACCATTCTGGTATTGCTGCACTATCTTTCTGCGCAACAATGGTGGAATTG